AAAGCAAAAGGTATTTATTGCAATCTCCCAAGCGGTATTTTTGTTTGGGTTTTTTTGGCTGATAGAAAACCATAAGGTTGATTTATAGATCGCGCCGTCTTTTCCGGCTGCGTCGTTGAGGCAATTTTTGTTTCATAGGACAGATGTAAATAAATTCTCAATGTGCGGTTTCATTAGTAAAATACTGAAAGAAGACTAGCTTTAAACCAGCTTTAGCTCAACATTTTGTTAGTTTTGTACGTCCTGGTACTTTTCGCCAGTGTTAAAAAGAATGTTTACGGGAAAATATGAGACACTGTCACAGTACTTACGCAATTAATTTTCACGTGCACGATTTCAAACATGTTACACTCCTGTCGGCCGTTTTCCTAGCAAATCTTCACTGTGTGTTCCTTGTCTTTGCAATCCTTTTCGTTTCAAAGTTCTCAGGCTCTAACGATGTCTAGCGAAATTACAGACGATCTGTTGACTCTTCAAAAAAACTTGAAGGTGGGAGATCTGTCATCCAGAAATCTTGCCGAAGAGATGAGAAAAAAATATGAGGGTAAAATTGATCAATTTTCGAGTTGCGACGTGGAACTACTAAACGCGTTAGCGGAAGACCAGTTGAGTTCTGCTTTAATCCCAAGTGAAGAAAAAGGACTGAAGGCGTTACAAACAACTGGTGATGGAAATTGCCTATACAATTCCGCCTCGGTGTTGATTGAAGGAGATCAATCTGCGAATCTTATTCTCAGACTGTTGACCGCAGTGGAACTGTATCTTAACCCTGACTATTATGCAGAGCACCCAAAACTCGTCGATGGTAGAAGCTCCGGGTTTTCCGATACAACTATTTTTACACTGTTGTTAAGTGATAGTGCTCAAAAAGAATTTGAAAGGCAAGCGTCCTGAGTTGATGCAGTTCAAGCTCAGGCCATTATCACTTGCAAAGAGAAGAAGTATGCCACTTTAATAAATATGATGGCATTAGCTACTGTACTTAACCGGCCTTTGATGTCACTGTACCCGAAATTCAAAAATACCTCTGGCATTCATCCACTTATGAGCGGCGTTATTAAACCCCGTGGCATGGTAGAAGGAAAAGATGAAAGTGGGTCCGCTGTTTTCCGGCTGTTGTGGACAAGAGATGGCAATTTTGACAACCGGCCAGGTGCAGTGTTCCAACCCAACCACTTTGTCCCCGTCATCCAGTGCCAAAGTGCCCCAAGGCCTCCAACCTTAATGAGCGGCGCACTACCAACCCAAAAAGACAGGACCCCACTGGTAGGAAAGTCAAGAGCCATTTCATCTTTCTTTAAACCCACATCCAAAGCAAGTGCCACCAAGAGAACCGCTACCGAAGCTGTCGTAAACTCCAACGAGAGTAGCTGCTGTGCGAAATTACCCAAGACCTCTTCTGTAACCAGAAAGTTTCAAGATTCTTGGGAAAACGAGTTTCCATGGGTGATCTATGACCCTGAGGCGAACAAAATGTTTTGCGATTTGTGTCGCAAAGCTGGCTCAAAAATTGCTGGTAAAACTGAATTTGTCACTGGCTCAAAGACAATAAAAAAGGAGACACTCAAAAAGCACGGTGAGAGCCATGGCCATCTACGCGCACAGGATTTCGTGATCAACGAACAGAAACCACTCACAAAAAGACCAATATTCAAAGGGCTTAAGAAGGCAGCTGAGAAGATAGATGAGCAGGCCTACAAAGAAATGTCAGTAAAAATGAATACTGCATACTTCATTGCAAAAGAAGAACTTCCTTTCACTAAGTTCCCGGGCCTTCTTCAGCTTCAGCAGAAAAACGGGATTCAAATAACCAACACCTATTCAAATGACATAAAATGTGCAGAAATGGTTGCAACAGTGGGCACACTGATAAAAGAGGGAATTGCTGAAAACCTTCGCAATGAAGTGCGTTACATTTCAGTTATGATTGATGGAGCCACAGATGCCTCCAGCACCGAAAACGAAACTGTGTATGCGAGGTGTTTGGGTACTGATGGCCGACCAGTCAATCGCATGGTAGGACACAAACCTGTAGAGCATGCCCACGCTGATGGTAAGCTTTAACGTACACTGCACATTTATTAGTGACCTAACAAAAAAGAAGCTATCGAGTTGTCAACATTTTTCTTCGACATAATTAATATTCTTGGACAAAAAAATCAGAACTATAAAAGTCTCTGCTAAATTCCTAGCAACCATTTTTGTGATACCGCTTAGTTTCACATTCTTTTTTTGTGATTGATGTTTAAAAGCTTACCGGTGTATCAACGATAAAACTTTTGATACTTTTTGTTTAATTTTCGCAGGTCTTCTTCAAGTTGTCGACAACTGCTTTTCGGACCTTGGAGTGAAGGAGTGGAAAAAGAGCACAATAGGGTTTGGAGCAGATGGCGCGTCAGTGAATCTGGGAAAGCGACGAGGTGTTGCATCAATACTCAAACGTGAAGTCCACCACCTCATTGACATCCATTGTCTTCCCCATCGCCTGGAACTATCAATG